AGATTTATTTTGTCTTCTATCAAACTGTAGGTGTGAGGAGAAAGCATTTATTCTTGCTCTCATTATTAAAACTTTGACACTATACAGTGTTTTGATTAAAGTTTAAGACTACAACATCCTAGTTATGACCATGAATCTATAGGGATGGAAGAGAGACAAAGATTAAAGCTAAGGTTGTTTGCTGTTGTTGGCTTAAAGTGGCATTCATTGTTTCTTTCTCTGGGATGAGTATCATTACATCCTCTCTCTATATACCATTTTGCATGAGTTTCTAAGAACTATCTCAGCTCCCCCTTTTTCCCAAACTTTTAAAAATTTGCTTCTAAAATTAATTCTAAAAATGAGATATAATGCTTCTTCTCTCATCCCATATCAATCTTCTACATCTTATTTCCTGAGAACATTTTGAAGACAAAGCAACATTAACAAATAGTGAACTTGTAAAGAATTCATAAACACAAACCATACAATGAAATACTGTATAGAAGTATGGCAATGCAAATTGTGCAGTTCTATAAAATACCAAAAACATCAATTCTCACCTCCTTGAGAAGTCTTTTTTCATTTGTCTTAGCCATCTCAATTTCATTTTTATAGTTGTCACTTGTTTCTTTGTGTAACCTATTTATGTTTTCTAACTCTAATTGGAAATTATTCACCTTTGAACAACAAAAACGAAAACAGGTTTATTCCTATTCATAATAACCAAGGGATAGGTCCAAACAGCATCATTTACTTCCTATCAACTTTTTATACATTTCTATAATATGAATTCTGCTTCTGCATTTTCCTTGCAGCAAACTACAGAAGTGGTACATTCCTAATTGTTTAAGTTTTCTAGATTTTTGCAACCCAAACATGGTAATCTTAACCATTTCCAGATGGGATCCCAATAGTTAAGGAATTGAGATGGACATGAATTAATGGATTAATTAATTAATTATTTTTAAACTTTGTATCCCTGAGAAGGCCATAGTAGTAAAAAAGTAATTTATACTTTTTTTGTTAAATGCCATCATGTATCATACCTTACAGATCTAATTCCTCAAATTTGTATTATTCTTACAATTTTTTTTACTGATGCAAAACATAAACATGCCTACCTTTCCTTCACTAATATTCAGTTGCTTGCTTTCTGATCCAAGTTTTTTTTTCAAGCTTTTATTCTAGTAACAGTTATTAATGAAAACGTTATTTATACATTTAATTATACACCAATATTTATACAATTATAGCTATAATAAATACCTCCTTAACTCAAGTATGTATTTTCAAGTCTCCCCAACATCATGTGAGCCATGAAAAGGTGCAGTTTTTTTAAGAAGCAATCAACAATCACAGGCAGGTGTTCCTGCTGTATCCTTGCTGTCTTCAGATCCTATTTTTCATTTATGTTTATAGAAATCTTTTGGTTAATAATATGGAATCCAGATTAAATCTAGATCAAACGTGTTGTCATTGCACTGTAGTAACATAATCTTTATATACCATGGCCTGAAATATCATTTTTCCCTAGAAGTGGAATAGTTGAAAGTGCAAAGGGAAAAAAAGCATTCTTGCATGCATATATAGCACACATATTTTACAGATATTTAATACAAGTATCTACTTCTATTTTGTCTCTAAAAGGGACCTTTTTAGTTACCAGTTCATACAAAGCCAGAATTTATTCTAACACATTACAGAGTAAACTTTAAGCTACTCGTGTGAACTGAGATAACATTTTGAATTACCATATTCCATTGACAATTTAGTAATTTTTCTACTTTTTATTTTTAAAATGTACATGCAGTTAAATTATAATATTTAGTCTAAAAAATATTTGTATTTTGATTTGATAGAAACATTTACAGTCTTCAACTTTAATAGAGCAAATTTGAATGAAAAATTTAATAGATACCGTATATGCCAGTGATGGTGAACCTTTTAGAGACCGAGTGCCCAAACTGCAACCCAAACCCCACTTATGCATCGTCGGGTGCCGGCTGGGTGTGGCCCATTGGGTGGGTGTGGCCCATTGGGTGGGCGTGGCTGCGGTGGTAACAGCAGACTGGGTGGGACTAAAAAGTTCAATCAATCAATTCCAACTTTGCAAGATCTTTTTTTTCCCGCGAGAAGTTGAAATTGACTGATTGATTGAACCTTTTTTTTTTTGTACATGGTGGCGGAGACCTAAAGCGAAAAGGTTTTATAAAACCCAGCTGAAGGCCTAGGACTGGGGCAACAGCGCGTGTGCCCACAGAGAGGGCTCTGAGTGCCGCCTCTGGCACCCGTGCCATAGGTTCGCCACCACTGGTATATGCTATGTTTTATACATGAATTATGTTTATCAGTTCTTACTTCTTGCTGTAGTACTTCAATATTCTTGATTTTCATTTCAATCTGCTTCTTTAAAGTATTAACCTAAAAGTATTTAACACATATTTCAAACAGTAATAATATATCACATAATTATTCTAGATGTAATCCTTTTGTTTGGATAGCTGATTTGAAATATTTCTTCTGATTATGGCTTATTCAAAACTTGCTATGACTGCAGCTCTGAAAATTGTTTTATCTTCAATATAAAAACCAAACCATTTGTTGAGATTAAATGCAATTTAAGCATGTGCCCAAATACTTATTTGAAACAAAGGAAGATATATGAGTTGTACACTGAATGCATATGCATTTATTACTTTTGATTACAAGTATTAAATGTATAGAAAAACAAAAGTTGCAATAAACATTTTCAGTGATTAATTAATAATACATTTCTGTTTGATTCAAAGATTGTTTCTGAATCCTGAAAAACTTCAAAAAAATGGATAAATATCAAAGTTCCTATAAAGTCTGATAGGTAGATTTTTACATTTTCATACCTTGTTTTCTAATGTTTTCAGTTGTTTTTCCTTTTTTGAAATTTCATTTTCAATATTTCTAACCTAGAAAGATATTATAAATGTTGACAAATATATTATAAAATTCACTACTATTTTCATTAAATTCTATTTTAAAACTATGAGAACATTTTTTTAACAGATGTGGAGGTATATATATATTTTCTAATGGCATTTGAAGGAATAATACATTAATTGTTGGATAAAGATTTGCTGCCCATTTGATTCATGAAAATTTAAGTAATAATATTTTTGGTAGTCTCTAAACTATGATGCTTTTTTAAAGTAAATTGTGATCAGAGCGCCACATTTCTAATAGACCCTTCTTAATTAAATAAATATAAATATCTATATAACAAATTCAAAATATGTTAATTTTCGATGTTGTTTCTCAGAAACTGCACTAAATATAACTGAACATAGAACCAATGATTTGGGCTTTTGTTGTACTGATCATTCTTACACCAATTATACAGTCTTGACCCCATCTCTACATGTTTTTCCACACATACTTTTTAATATCCCAGTCCCACTACACCAGATTATTTTTATAATTTTCATGATAAATTCCCAATTCACATCAATATAATAAAGGGAATTGAAACTTGCCTTTCTGCACAGCAATCTTCATATCTTTACACAAGCATTCATTCTTTGCAAAGAATCACATACTACATACTATTTTTATCATAATTTGCATATATTAACATTTCTATGTTAAACTGTGATATCATACATTTTCTTCATTTTCATCAACTTTCTTTTTTGCTTCTTCATCCTTTTGTTTTAGTTTCTCCTTTACTTCCTCTAATTCATTGCTATGTAACAAAAAATAAATGCAATTACTTCCATGCATCTATAAAATATCTACAATGAAAACATTGCTAAATTCGTGTAGAAATGGAAATCTTCATACTTATCTAATATTAGATTATGATATTGTGTAATCATGCTTGCACAGATCTATATAGAATAACTTTCCTTTTGTTATCTGCCTCCTTATCTATTGCATTTTTGAAGTGAACAATCACTATTAGAGATGCCAGTGAAGACGCACTGCTATATCCAAATTGTGAAGATCTACCCTAATGAAAATTAAGGTTATAAGGAGCAACATCCATCAGGACATATTTACTCCCAAATAAGCTGTAACAGAGAAAGAACCTTCTGATTTAAGTGGTTAATCAAATAAAATACAATCTTCAGGAAAGTAACATTTAGTTCAATAGTCCAAATAAAGTGCTAGAAAAGCTTTTGGCAAGGGAATGATAAAGCATCCCATGTTCCTTTTGTCTGATATCTGGCAATATGTTAGTAAAACTAGGGCAGCGGCTCCCAACCTTTTCTAAACCCCGCACCCCTAGAACGCTTCTGATATATTCTTGTACCTCTTACAAAAGTTCGAAATAATAAATTATGCATATACACTATAATTTTGAAACTAAACTAAACCCACATTTTCACATCCCCTGGAATATCGTTTCGCATCCCAGGGGATGTGAGTACCCCCAATTGGGAACCCCTGAACTAGAGTTACAAAGGACCATAACAAATATAATGGGTTAGGGTTCCAGGCTTCCAGGAATTCTCTGGCATTTTTGGATTTTGATTTGTCTAGGAAGGTCACAGTTCCCTAGTTGAAACTATGGTTAAATGTGTCCACTTGTTATGAATTTAAAGAGTTTTCATCATCTTTTCCAACTCCTAGTTGGTGTTCATGAAAATTCCTTAATTTCACAATACATGGACAGACTTAATCATAGTTTAAACACAGCTTCAACTGGGAAACTGTGACTATTCTAAACCAAGCCAAAACCAGAAATTGCTGGAAGCCTGACATTCAGAGAAATCACCCATCAACAAGACAAAGACATAAACAACATTTACATACCATTCAAAAGAAACAATGAACAAGCCAAAAAAGGGAACAAAAGACCAAAACGCCTCCTCATCAGCAATCAAAACCCATATGAGCAGATATTAACACCAAGAGTAATATTAGACTAACAATCATGAAGCAAACAATACCACGATCGAGATACTGCCAAATAAGCTAACAGTAAACAACCCATCCAAAACACCACCCTCCCACCAACACAGACGAGGCAAGCCACTAGAATAGAAAATGAAAGTAAATCCCACTCCCTACTAGCACGGAAGGTGTTACCTAGTTTGGATAATGAAAGATCTGTAAGAAAACAATGAAGCTCAGTGAGCATCAATGACCCTTCACTTACTTCTCTACTAGCTTCCCCATTAATTTTGCTTGTGGGAAGCTGGCAGAGATTACAAATGTAATCACATGACCATGAGACATCAAGTGTCTGGATCGTGAGAGTGATCGCAGAGACGGCCAGAATTTTGAGGATGGATTATAAGTACTACTCCTTCAGCACTATCATAATTTTGAATGTTTGCTGAACAAGTTATTGTTAATCAAAGTCTATCAGTGTAGCCAAAGAATGCACACAATATACAGTACAAATATGAATTGGGAGTAGTGGTAATACAACTTTTTGTTTCTCTAAAATACGTGGCAACTTAGAATAGGGCAGTGATTCTTCAATCTATATCAACAGAATTCAGCTATTTCTCACAATAGCTTTCTCACAATTAAACATGAGCCAATCAATTAAACATCATCAGTTGGAGTCAGCAGTGTGTGGCAGCAGCCAAAAAAGCTAATACAATCTTTCGTTGTATAAATAAAGGCACAGAATCAAAATCACATGAAGTATTAGTACCATTTTATAAATCCTTAATAATACCACACCTCGAATACTGCAACCAGTTTTGGTCGCCACATTACAAAAAATATGTTGAGAATTTGAAAAAAATGCAAAGAGCAACTAAGATGATTAAGGGCCTGGAGACAAAAACATATGAAAAATGGTTGCAGGAATTGGGTATGGCCAGTCCAGAAATAGAAGGACTAGGGGTGACATGATAGCAGTATTCCAATATTTGAGGGACTGCCACAAAGAAGAGGTGGTCAACTTATTTTCCAAAGCACCAAAGGCAAGAGAAGAAACATTGGATGGAAACTAATCAAGGAGAGAAGCAACCTGGAATTAAGGAGAAACTTCCTAACAGTGAAGACAATTAACCAGTGGAAAGCTTGCCTTAAGAAGTTGTGGGTGCTTCATCACTGAAGTTTTTAAAGAAAAGACTGGACAGTCACTTGTCTGAAATGGTATAGAGTCTCCTGCTTGAGCAGGAGGATCCTTCCAGCTCTATTCCAATTAATTAACCATTTATGCAAAATAGATTCAAGGAAGCAATTGTAAACCCTCTGCCGCCCTTTCCCTTGTTACCCTTGTCACAGGTAAGAGGGAGAACCAGTTATTNAGATCAGTCCTATTAGAGAAATAGAAGACAGATATAGAAGACAGAAGACTGTGTCAAACAAGCCTCCTTCACAACAAAATTTGCCTAAGTGATTGGAAGAGCTGTTTTGAAATACAAAGTAAGGAATCTGAACCATAGAGCTCTCAAAGCTCTTCTGCTTCTGGATCTTCTTTTCTTTTCTTCCTTTTTAAATTAATTTCCTTCACAACTTGTTTTGGACAGGCAAATTGACTCTTCTCTACCTACTTCACTATGCCACATTTGTGTGTATATATTATGCACTTTCAATACAAAAAAATCTGAACAATCAGGAATATGGTGTTTCTTTATTAATCTATGTTTAGGTGTGTGTCATGTATGTGTTTCACTTTGAGAGCGGGCAACTAAATTTCATTTTTGATGTGTGCCATTGTGCCCACAGTAAAAAAAATGACAATAAAGGTTATCTTATCTTATCTTATATTATCTATGTAAGAAATACATACATATCTGAATAATGGCCATCTTTAGCTTGGGAACCAGTTTCCCAGTTTAACACTCACACAACCAACCTATATAAAATTGATATGTCACTCCAATATATAACATAAGACTGTAACATCTATCCTGTTTTGTATTGGACAATAAAAGGTGTTTTACTTCTAAAGGTATACATATACACACATATACACACATATACACAGACACACACATACACACGCGCGCGCACACACACACACATATATATATACACATACATACACACACACACAATTTTACATTAGCAAAAGACATTAGTATGTACTGTAAGAATAGGACTATGAAATTAGAATCTATTCTCAAAAAGAATAACATTATATAATAACTTGAAACTTAAATTTTATTGAACATACCACAGTAAACATTCTTATTCTGGCTTACCTTAATAGGAAGTTTGTTTGTTTTAAAATGTTAATTTGATTTTTAGTTTCTTCATCTGTATTTTTAACATTCTGAACAAAAAGACAAGCAACTAAATGTAGAAAATGCAAAACTGGTATAAATTAAGTATATATATACTATAACTATTGAGTGGTCACTTATAGAAGTTTCATGATCCAGGTTAAAGCATGAGACTAGAACTTGGGAGACCATGAGTTCTACTCCTGCCTTGGGCACAAAAATCAGGTGGGTAATCTTGAGCCAATTATTTTATCTCAGCCCTAGGAAGGAAGCAATGACAAACCACTTTAAATCATTTTTCTTATCAAGAAAACTGTACAGACTCATCAAAGCAGTCTCTAAAAATTGATTGAATGGAAGAAAAAAAAAATAGAAAGTTCACTCAAAGCACCTCCCAGTTTTTTTAAAAAAACAACAACAGTCATTTAAGTTCCATTCTTATCCATATTTAGGAAACAGTGAAGGTACAGTAAGATGCATTGGAAGCACACAATTATAATTTAGTTCTGAAATTAAAAACAATTACTGGCACAAAAACAATCTATAGGTAGACGGTTTAGTTAAAAAAGTATAGTCAGGAACTTGCCTTAATATTATCTTTACATTTTTGAAGTTCATCGTCCACCATCTTTTTCTCTGTTATAATTTGTTCTTTCTCAAATAAAAGTTTGTTCCACTCCATATTTAACTCTTTATTCTTTAGGCTGTTAAAATAATAATACTAGAAACAATTATTTATATTTTCATTTTTTTTATAAAACTACTCTGAAATAACATCATGGGACAAGATGTACCAAGTAGACCTAACGTTGATATAAGACCAGCTAAGGAACTCTGATCCCAATAGCAATTTAATGGCACTTAGCATAAAAACCATTACAAATACTTTTCTATAAATTGACAAGTTTCATACTAAGACCACATCTATGTGTACTTCTGAAAGAAATTATTCATCAAATAATGCCATTTTAAAATTGTATGAGTAATAATAGCAAATTTTATTATGGTCACTGACCAATTTAGAAACAAAAAGCAGACGCATTCTGAGATTGCAACTAAAAACCACTGTAAAACTGATATTGTTGAAGTACGGCATGCATGCTTTACAAAACGCAAAAAACAAAACTGATCTTAGACATGTTCAGTGAAATAAAATCACAATGATCAAGCAGTAGCAATTCTAAATAGAATTAATCTGGCTGACCTCAAAATATAACTAGAGAATAAGCTATCAGCTGCAACCAAACACATTTATAATAAGGGCAATATAAAAAATGTGGATTAATATTTCAGGAACGTCTTCACTATAGAACCTACAGTATCTTTCTTTAGATGGGAATCCCACAATTTCCCTTCAACAACCACTTTGGAAGGGCATAAATCTTGTCAGGGTTTAGGGCTCTTCTGAAATTTTAAAACCTTTAAGACTGATTCTACAAAAACAAATTAAATAAATATCTATATCTCTGAGATTGGAAAATCTGGACCTTTATAAAAGGGCACTGGATTTTGGTTTTCACAAAGTACTATATCATCTAAATATATTATGAGACTTAAAGGGCAATTATTTAAAATCCATCCCAGTATTAATTATACCAGCATTTTTGAAAAGGCATCTGAGAAAAATGGAAATGCTAGTAATTGTGTGCTCTACTGGCAGTCACTTCAAAAGAGTAGCTGCAAAACTCAATTTTCCCCAAATCTTACATGCTTGCATGTTTTCTCATCATTTGAGATATATTATTTTAGTTCAGCATTATGAGAATGTTAGTAATGAAATGCTAAATAGTTGTAAAAAAACAAATTCAGTAACTGTTTTCAAAATACAAATTTACTTACATCCAGAAACCACAGCACTATTGGAATTAAAAAAAGAAGTAATAATTTTTATATTCTGGCTTTACTCTTAGTAAATTATTTAACTACCTTCCAAATAATAGCCATGTACAATTATTTTAATAAAAACAATCTTGTAAAATATTACAGGTAGATTCTCCTTCATGTAACAAAATAATATATATTATTTAAGATATTTATATCCTGCATATTGAAGGCATGATCACCCAGCAGTTAAACAATTAAAGCTGACAATCCAGATTTGAAACCTGAGCCCTACACGGTGGGGTGAGCTCCTGTTATTTGCCCCAGCTCCTGTCCATCCAGCAGTTTGAAAGCATGCAAATGCGAGTAGATAAATAGGTACCAATTTGGTCAGCGTTCCGTGAGCCTTGGCATATAGTCATTGCATTTCCATATATTTATGTTGGCCACATGATCATGGAAATGTCTTCAGACAATGCTGGCTCCCTTAGCTAAGAAACAAAGATGAGCCTCGCCTCCTGACTATACAGAGAAAACCTCTACACATTATGTTATTTTATGTTACGTTATGTTATGTTATTGTAATAATAATAGGGGAAACCTTTACCTTACCTTATATCTGGCATGTCCTTTATATATTAAATGTAAACCAATCATAAAAGTCTTTCATAACTAATAGCATGTTAACCATATATTAATAAAAGTACGTACATTTCTTTTTCAAGCTCTGCTTTCAGTGTTGCAAGCTGTTGAAAGCAATTTTGTTTATTTTCGAATTCATCAGACAATTGCATTTCCAAATCATGTATTTCTTTCTGCAGGTAACAATGCATGAATGTATTTTTACAACATACCATTTACAATAACATCATTAGCATACTAAACAATATAACTTTGGAATTTTCTGGTTAAAAAAAGCCCATTGAATAAAACATGTTTGCCTTTATGACCACGTGGTTCACTAAACAACTGATTCACTTAGTAACTGCAGTGACTTGCTTAACAATCATCATAAAACCTGACTAAAATCAAGTCTGATCAGAACCACTGACTTATAGCTAAAATTCCAGTCCCAAATGTGATTGTTATGTGTTCTAACTGTTCATATTACAAAGATAAATGAAATAAGTCTTTATGTGCCATAAATAGCCACATACAGACAGTCCTCACTTAACAACCACAATGCCCTGGCTAAGTGACATACTCAATTAGCAAGACATCATGTCACTGCTAATGACTTCATTCTACTTGCAGTTGTTAAGTGAAATATCATGTTATTGTGATTTGTGGTTTTAATTCTGCCTTCTCTATTTACTCTGCTTGTTGGAGGCTGACAGTGAAGTGCACAAATTGCAATCATGTGACTGGAGACACTGTAATGATCTTAAATACCTGTCAATTATGAAGTACCCAAATCTTGATCTTGTGACCATGGGAACGCTGCAATGGTTGTAAGTGTGAGAACTGGTCATAAAATTATCTTTTCATCACTGCTTATAACCTCAGATGGTCACTAAGGGCCGTCATTAAGCAAGGACTGCCTGAACACAAGTACTTTATATTTCCTAATAACAATTAAATGGTGGCCTGACTGCAATTAATTTAGCTATTAAAGCTCTGGAGATGATATGTGTGTCACTAGCTGCTTCCAGATAGATAGTTCCTGTATGAAATTGTGCAGTAATTTTTTTTCTTTCTGACATATTATTATTATGAACAGTAAAAACAATTATTGGTCATATATGGGAGAACTGTACATTAAAAATTCTGCATACCTTGCCACTTCTAAAACTCTGACAATGACATAAAAGTAATAAAGAAATACCCACTGAGTAGATGTAGATAGTCATAAAGAGAGAAATGTATGCAGCTTCAATTTGAGGTTTATCTGCTATTCAAGAGGTTGATGAAGGGTCCAGCATACAATTATTTTAAAGAGAAAGATTTTTCAAGCTATATTTTTGTAATAATTATATGTAAATATCAAAATCTATCAGAACTTACAATACCTCTCTTGTCTGAAGAGTGTTCTTTAACTCTCTTTCTCTTTCTTGTAATTTTTCAATGGTCTTCTCAAGAATTTGTTTTCCATGTAAAAATTCTTGGACCTGTTCCTATTCAAAAATTAAAGTAAATTAAAAATTGGCACAAAACGAACAAAGTGCTATTTTATTACTGTGACAACCATTCTATTTGTTTATACTGACATTGTAAGCACCCTTCCCAAGTCCTGCTTTGCTACCACATCATTGAGTATATATATTCCCAAAGGGATGAGTGAAGAACTTCAAGAGGGTATGTGTCAGGAACCAAGAACAACACAATAAACTGCTCAGCGTAATTTCCTTTATTGCTGTTTGCTGATAAGACAGAAATCTTGTCAGATTAAAACACATCCTGCATAATTATCAGATACATCCTGTGAAGGTTTAGGGAGGATCCCTCCTGGGTCTCTTTCTGCATACCAATGACTCAAGGCTGATTTGGCTCTTAGCTTTTACATCAGCTGGTTAATAATACATTATAATATTCTTATTTTCTAGTAATTTCCAAATATCTTAAATTTAATAATCAAAATTTCTCTTATTTCAACATTTAATACTTCCTCTTTTTTCTCTCAATATATACTATCTCATATTTAAACTAGTAAGTTTTGTTATTACCACTAAATAAAAACGTATTTGTTACATTCATCAATAAATTTTTAGTTTATATATACTTTAATTGCCTTTATATTCAATATTCAAATTTAACTATTGTTTATATTTCCAAGTCTTAAATGACCAGAGCATCCTTTAACTCAACTCATAATAATTTCTAATATTCAAAGTACACATCTTATCTATTTGAGAATATTCTATTTTAATTCTCACTAATAGGTCAAAACCCCAATTTTCTTCAGTCTTATTCCAGCCTTCTTTCTTTGCCAAATCATCTTCCATGTCCGTGCTTTTGAGTCATCAAATAGATCTGTGTTATTGTGTATGTTGTTTGACGTAGAAAAAAAACCCCATCCAGTCGCCATATTTTTGAGAGGTCTAACAAATTGTCTATTTTTCCATTTTGATATAGTTGTCTTAAGCTGTTTATTTTCCCTTCAGTCTGTTATTCTTCTTGATCCTCAGTTTTCTTCTGATTTATGTAAAAAATCTTTTTCCTTTTCCATATTGTCAGTCCCTTTTCTGGGTTTTCCATTGATTGTATTTGTTGATCAGTTGAATCCTCTGCCATAGTATTTAATTGGTCCACTTTTTCGGTCATATTGTGTAGTTGGTTTTTTAGTTGTAATCAAAATTTGAGTTTGTGTATCTGGGCTGACATCCCATTCTTTTCCGCACCTCTTATTTCATCAGTAGCTTTAAGAATAGTTTGGTGAATTGCTTTCAGCATAAAGAGAATCTGTTCCTGATCTTCCTCCATATTTTCTTAGTAATGTATTAAGTTAAAAGCTTTGCACTCAGAGAATGTAAAAAAAAAGTTTTTCAGTAAGTATAGAACACAGCTGGGCTTCACAGCTGATATCTCAAGGTTATAAGTCTTATCTATTTGTCTAGGCCAGGGCTTTTCAACCAGTGGTACGTGTATCACTTGTGGTACTTTGCCACATGGCAAGTGGTACACGATTGCTACCCAAGTGTAGCAGGGGAGAGGAATGAGCCCAAGCGAGCCAAGCCTGAGGGAGAGGCAGCCGCCGCTGCAAGACTGTTTGGGCTTGGCAGAAGCCCCAGGAGCCAGCAGGGCTCCAGCTGACTGGCGCTTCCAGAAGCAGCTCAGAGCTGGAGGTGAACTGAAGAAAAAGGGGGGGAGAGGAGAGGCTATAAAAGAACGTGGTTTGGGTGGGGGAAGGGGAAAAAGACAGCAGGAAAGGTTTAATCCCTTTAAACAAATGTAATTAGTTTTACCCCCTTTAATTGAGTCTGTCTGTGGCTTTTAGAAAGTTTTCTTTGAAGGTAAACTGGCTTAATTTAAAGTAGTGGTTCTCAACCTGTGGGTCGGGACCCCATTTGGGGTCGATCGACCATTTCATGGGGGTCGCCAAGCAAGGCTGTCCGCCATTTTTTTTGTCCGCCATTTTTTCCCCTTTTCCGGCGGGTGCCTTACCTCCCTTGGGCTGGGCCAGCTGGTGGTCAGCCTTCTCCGTCTCTGCCGCTTGCCAGCTACGCCTCAGCCGGCGCAGGAGGCGGAACCACGCATGCATGGTGCTCCCAGGCAGGGAAAGTCCTTGACTTACGACCGGTTGGGTAGTCCTCGACTTACGACCGGTTTAGTCCTCGACTTACGACCGGTTTAGTCCTCGACTTACGACTGGTTTAGTCCTCGACTTACGACCGGTTGGGGTCGCGGCATTAAAAAGGTTGAGAACCACTGATTTAAAGCTAAAATTTTTCACAATTGTCGGAGCCTTTCAGTCCAGAATAGCAACATTGTGACACGTGACACACCTGAGGCAGCTTAAAGAGAAAAAAAACGGAGTTTGTGTTTCTTTATTTTCTTGCTTTGCACTTGATTCTTGTGTCTTTAAGGACACAGGGGATTGGGGGGGTGCATTCTTACTACACTGTGGAAGAGCTCAGAAGGGCCAACCAGCTAGCTCAGGGGTTTACAAACTTAGCAACTTTTAAGACCTGTGGACTTCAACTCCCAGAATTCCTCAACCAGTCATGAGGGCTGAGGAATTCTGGGAGTTGAAGTCCACAAGTCTTAAAAGTGCCAAGTTTGAAGACCCCTAAACTACCTAGTAGTGGTGCATATTAATAAACATGGATAAATTCATCATACATTTGTCAGTGCAAAGAGAAAGTGATTCAGCAAAGGAACAGCCACCAAAGAAATTAAAACTGGTACTTTTTTCTTTTTTTCTACAGTTGGTAATTATTAGATTATAGAATAAAATACAAAAATACAAAAGCAAATAGTAGGACACAGTGGGGAGGAAAAAGGGGGGGAAGTGAGGGGGAGAAGGGAAAAAGAACATACTTCCTCTGTTGCAGTAGAAGGAAGCATTAACACTGAACCTCAACTTTTTACTTTTCCATATTATAAACTAGCCATTTCTATAACAAATGAATCTAATCAGTAACCACCACCCCTTTTTAGTCATCAAGTTTTTGACACCTTGCTAAGCACTAGTGGTACTCAAATATTGTCATGTCCGAAAAATGGTACAATCTGTGAAAAGGTTGAAAAGCCCTGGTCTAGGCTGCAGCCAAGTCTCTTTTGAGCAATAACAGGTTGTAATATCAGGTTTAGCCACAAGATGATGCCCCTATATTTAAATTTTTTCTTTAGGTCCGAGATTTTTATAATCTTTTAAGTTGTACTTTTTTTTTATGAGTAAAAACCCAGATCTTCAGTAAAAGTAGAAAGTCTTTTAGTCCACAAACTTTAAGAAGTAAAATTCCAATTAGGATCAAGTTATTCTTGCAACGTTTTAAACTCCCCTGGATAGTCAGTTGCTTCTTAGAGGGAGGGGTAAAATCTCCCTTCCCTCTCCACAGGGGGGAAAGTATTTAAGCAGCTTATGCAGGTAAAAAAAGATAGTTAGGATTTAAGAGAGGTAGATCTCACCCAATCTCTTCCACGCTGCTTTAAAGTTGCCTGATGGTAACTGTGACTTCTGCTGTCTGCAATCTAGTGATGAGCCATATTTCTATGGCCGGTCTTTCGTCCACCAGTTTGGAGGGCTGCCCCGGATCAAACAGAAGGGCTACGGCCCTTCCGCGGTCAAGCAGGGATCCCCTCCTTGCTGGTCGCCCCTACAGGACTACTTTTGACCCTTTCCAGGGTCTCCCAGTGATGCGAAACTTGACGCGGAAGACGGAGCTCGCCTTCCAGATGTCCATGGCGGCCGCCTCGGCAAACGGGAAGTCCCCCTTCAATATGATGATATTCAAAGTTTATGCTCCAATTATTGATGCAGAAGAGGGTGACAAATTTATGATCAAATTGAAATTCAAAGAATATGCAAGCATATTTGTAGTGGAGACTGGAATGTTCAAGTTGGAAATATTGAGGAAAATATAATTGAAATGTATGGTCTAAGGAACTGAAATAAAGCAGGAGAGCAATTTATTATTTTCTGCCAATCCAATAATCCTGAAACAACCAAAATAACCCATATATGCCTGCATTTGCTTCTCAGCGCACCCTTCATTACCTAGATCCAGCAAGGCCTTCTGTTGTACGGACTAATGTAGTCTTGGCAGGGTACAGCTCTGGACAGACCCTCCTACAGCCTACTCCTGTAGGTATTGTTTTCAAAAACTGAACACGACAGAAAAAAAACTATACCACCTGGGACAAGGAACTACCAGCAATTAAAGTTGCCTTTGAAGCATGCAAACATCTGCTAAAAGGGGTCAAACGCCCAGTGAGTCTGTACTTATCATTAGAACCTTGAACATTTTCAGATTGCTAAAAAAACTGAATCAAAGACAAATCTGGTGGTCTTCGTTCTTTTGTTGCTTTAACATAATCCGTCTCCAGGAAACCAGAATATGAATGCTCTGAGACTGACTCCCAAACTGCCACTTTCATATTTCCAGAAAATGTAGATGCTACCAGTGTCCCGATAAATCTACTGAAAGAACTAAAGGAACGGCAATATCTAGACTACTGTGCACAGGTTCATCAGAGGGAAATTGAAGACACACCCACTAAATGCCCACCACATTGGACATTGAACCAAGACCTTTTACTCTATCAAGTCTGGTATTACATTCCCACTTAGCCTTTGCAGGATATGGTCCTGAGAGATGTACCATGATAGCCCACTGGTGGGACATTCTGCATTTGATGAGTTGAGATTTTTGGTGATCATATCTCCATAAGTAGGTGGAGCCATAAAAAAGAATCTGGCAAGCCATGCCCCTTAATTTCATCACTGAGCTACCTCTGTCAAAAGAAGCAACGGAAACTCTCACCAAGATGTTTTATTTCATTCACTGTACCACAGCAAAGGAGATGGCAAGTCTCTTCCTAGATAACATTTTCTACCTACATGGATTGCCTGAGCATCTAATTTCATATCAGGACCCTTTAATATCAGCTCTTAATAGTTTGTGTGCTTTTTAAAAAAAAAACCAAAATAGGTTTTAAGACATAATCCTCAATAGATGAAAGACGTAATGATGTCAGCTAGTGGAATGGAAAAATATTAGAAATCCTTACTAAGACTGGTTCCAATTCTTCAATTTGTTTTTCTTTATCATTTTTCAGTTTGGTCATCATTTCTGCAATTAATTCAAACATAAAAAATATAATGTAATATTTTCAATTATGAAATTACATATACTTATTTTTTAAATTTTTATTCATTCTTAGATAGATGTAGACCCATTTGTTTCTTTTCGATCAAGGACCATATTCAGATAAGTATGTGCTCAGGATCTCACATAAACCTGGGTATATCCAAGACAAAATGTGAGCAGGACCAAAACAAAAGAGGCTGGATGGATGGCCAAATGGATAAAGAAGCAATAACAGAAATCTGAATAGTCAGATATTTCCAAGAAACCCAGAAGGCTGAGCTTTCAAAAATCCTTAACCCAATGGTACATTCTCCTATATATTTTTCATATTTCTTTAAAATTTGAAAAAATCCATAGGTGAGTGCATTAACATGCTCAGAAAGCCACAAAAAAGGCTAAAAAGTAAAAAATCAATGGAGAAGCTGGCAGGGAAGGTTGCAGGTTGCTAGGATAAATCTCCCTACCCGTGCAGCCTCCCCTAGCCCCTCTGTGCCACTTGCACACCCTCCCCAAGCCTGTTGAGCAATCCTTTATACTATGCCCCCTTGCACATTTATGCACTTTCCATGACCCATGCCACACCTCTCATGCAGTTCCTTACACTCTTCCCAACTCTTCCTCACACCTCTCATATCATCCTTGCAGCTCCATGATCCCTCTTTCACTCAACAGTAGCCACTCACTTGCCTGCCTAGAGACTTGCAACTTCCTGCCAGTTTTCCCACTGATTTTGATTGTGGGAAGGTGGCAGGAAATTGCCAATGACTGTGAGATTTGGTTAATAACAACCGGGATTGCAGAGATCGCTGCTATTAAGCAAAGTCGTATCGCTTTACAACAGCATCATTAGTAACAGAAAGTCTGTTCCCAACTGCCATTGTCACTTGAGGTCTACCTGTGTGCCTCTCCCTTATTTCATCTGCCTGTCCTACCAGATGCAGCAGAGGGGGCATGATAAAAGAGTCTGTTCCATAGGTAGCTACATTTGGCAGGCCCTAGGAAGCGGGCCTTTTCTGTTGTAGTGCCTCTCACTGGTGGAATCTTCTCCACCCTGAGATGAGTTTGGCCTTGCCACTGTTGAACTTCCGGAGGTTTCCCAAGACCTGGTTTTGCCAGCAGGTCTGGGGACTCCAAGAAATGGGTGAACTAGTGAAATAGCTCCATTATTTTTAAAGTTTCCTTCGTCTATTATTTTTTTATTTAGTTTTTATACACTTTTAAAAGTATTTTAATGTATTTATTCATTGTTTTTAGCTCTGTTATATGCCACCCAGAGTTGTTTGTTTGTGAGATGGGTGGCTATATAAATTGATTTAATGAATAAATGCAGTGTGACCATGATAGAAGATGAACAGTAAAATTGATATATACAAAATTAACACTATCACAATTTCAAGTAGTTCTAAAGAACAGTGTCTCTGTTTTCAATTCTTCAACATACCTAGTTCAGATGATTTATTTTGGAGTTCCAAAACTAATGCATCTGAGGCATCTCTCAATTCCTTTTTCCTATTAAAATAATTTAAAATGTTCAATGAATTGTTTAAGAAAAAAGAATTATGTGTGAATGAATAACTTGAGCATGCATTATTATATAGTCACTAAAAACTCATTGAATTGCAGAAATAAATAAATAAATATGGCTATAAAGCTGAGATACAGCAGAGTGGTTAAGTGACCATTCTAATTCTGTATTTAGTAAACTGTTTTTCCTATAACAATCTAAAGTGCAGGTAGTTCTTGAGTTATGGCAACTCACTTAGTGACAGTTCAAAGGTACAACAGAACTTACAATCCAGTCCTGAAGTTACAAATGTTGCAGTATTCCTGCAGTTATTTGTGTTTATGACTGACTGCAGACTCTGCAGCATGCCCTTCCCGCCTATTTCTCCCCCATCCTGTCCCGCTGAGTCCCCTCCACCTGTCACTGATCACTCACTTACTTTTTGAAGATCTCCAGAGTTCAGGATGCCAGGATAGGAAAGGAGAACAGGTTACTGCCTTGTTAGGGTACATGGCAGAAAAGCAGTCATATTTTTCTGAGATGCTGGAAAAACCTCTCTGTTTTTCTTTTGTCACTAGACACCAGCCTTCTATTCCACAGTGAAAGCAAATGGCAAGGAAAATAATTTTTTCCCTTCCTTACCGTTTATCTTTGGTCCTTTGCTAATGGTAGGTGGAGGGAAAATATGGAAGCAGGCAGAAAACTCATCACTTCCCTCCATCGACCATTTGCTGTGCATGTATTAGAGACCAGCATCTAAGAGAAGCTTATTCTAAAGGAAGAGATTTCTGGCTGCTTCCTTGTTTTCCCTCCAACCACCAATAGCAAGGGGCTAAAGGCAAATGGCAAGGAAGGAAAAAAGATTTCTCTCCCTCCCCATTTGCTTTTGCTGTGGAATGGAAGGCTAGCATCTAGTGACAAAAAAACCAGGGAGGTTTTTCTAGCATCTCAGGAAGACAGCCACTTTTCTGCCACATGGCCTAGCAATGGAACAATCTGGCTTCCTTTCCTATCCCGGAATCCTGAGCTCTGGAGATCTTTGAAAGGTAAGTGAACAATCAGTGACAGGGGGGCTGGGTGCAGAGGATTCCCAAGCAGCTGTGGGAAGCGGAGCATGGGATATCTCAGTGAGTGAGGCCTTGGGATGTCCCAGGCAGGGAATTTTGTTCCTGCACCCTGGAGGAATCCTATGCGCACTTAACAACCAATGCATTCATTTACTGAATACATTGTGGTGATCTGGATGGGGGCTAGTTCACTTAACATGATTCACTTAACTTCCTCTGGTTTGGAAATGTAATTGGTAGGCTCCAATACATTCATAACTCAAGGATTATCTTATCACACACATATATAACATTAAAAACCAAAACAAAAACTATAAACCCCACCCAACACCACATGGCAGCAGCAAAACAATCAGATCATTCACTTGATCAACTCCATCTCCATTCAGGGCTCCCAGGGCTCCTGAAATAAACCACATTTTCTGGACTTTTTGGAAAAAATAAAAAGCAACAAGGGCCAATCATGTTTCCAGGAGAATGATGTTGCATAGGGAAGGGACCATTTGCCTGATTTTGTAGTCTCGCTCTATTATTCGTTGTATGAGGAATTTGGCAAATCTGTGCCTTATGGCTGGGCTGACCTGAATACAAAACTGGTGAGACCTCTTTCACTACATGCTATAGAGAGCTAAGAGTTAGAGATCACAGCAGAGGTTTTTATATACCCAATTGGATTTAGCTACTAAAGCAGACTTAACAGTTTGTAATATTCATTCTGATGGGATGATCTATTCTAGATCATCCAAGATCCAATGCAGGATAGAGGTCTGGATATAATTTTCTTGTCAGAGCCATAGCAATGTGATCTGGTGAAAGATATGTAATTATCCCTTGTCATGGACAGACCAGGCCCTGGTGGCTGTAACATTTTCCAATGCCCACTCCCACACAGGGAGGCAGTCCTATTTGAATGGTTCACCCCCAGTGACAAATGGACCTGCTCAGATTTCAGAAGGAGCTAAGGGATATCTTGGGGGTTCTGCTACATGGCCCTGTGGAGGCTTTGTCCGCAACCTGGAATCAGAAGGTGGCTGAGACTGTAGACAGTATCAAGCCTATGCATCCTCTCCTGGTCTATTGGTCCTGAAACTCTCTGTGGTTTATGGAGGAGCAGAGGGACCGGACATGAGTCACAGCCTCAATTAAGGCCAACTCAAGGTGGTAAAAGTGGTGAAACCTCCCTATTTCTCCAGTCTTACTGCATCTGCAGTGTTGCCCAACAGCCCTGTTCAAGATCACTTGGTCCCTCCTTGGGAAGGGGGAAAATCAGACAATCAAATAGGGCTGTGCAGAGGAATTTGTTCAACACCTAATGGTAAATTGCTCAGATCCGTTTTCAATTTGAATCCAACTGTGGAACGGGTCCATTGGACATACCTGGGAAATGGATTTGCTACATTACCTGGGAACTGCTTGATTCTGTTGGACCAGAGAAACTGGACAGGATTTTTGGGGCTGTTAAGGCAACTACTTGCTTATTAGATTCCCATCCCTCCTGGTTGGTAAAAGCCTCCAGGATGGTAACCTGGATTAATGCACCACTACTACAGGACGGGGTGTTTCCAGTATCATTTAAGAAGGCCTTGGTCCACCCCAATTTATATGCAATTCCAGCAACTGTTCTTTATGTTTTAGCCTCCAGTCCCCTAATCCTCTATGTTGCTTTCTAGAGTCTCAACATCTTTTTTTCATAGTGGCAACCAAAACCAGATGCGGTATTTCAAGTGTGGTTTTACCAAGGCATTATAAAGTGGTATTAACACTTCACGTGATCTTGATGCTATCCCTCTGTTAATGCAGCCTAGCACTGTGTTGGGTTCTTGGCAGCTGCAGCACACTGCTGGCTCATATTTAAGTGAGTGTCCACTAGGACTCCAAGTTCCCTCTCACAGTTTCTATTATTGAGCCAGGTACCACCTATACTATACCTGTGCATTTGGTTTTTCCTGCCTAAATGTAGAACCTTACTTTTTTCACCACTGAATTTCATTTTGTAAGATAGCACCCAATGTTCAAGTCTGTCAAAATCCTTCTGTATCTTAAGCCTGTCTTCTGGAGTGTTAGCTATTCCTGCCAGCTTGGTATTAAATAGTCTGCAAAGTCTCCCTCCAAGTAGATGCAGTTCCATTGTGGACTACACAATGTTGAGTGCAGTTGGTCAGCCAGTTACAAATCCATCTGGTGGTGATGCTGTCTAACCCACATTTTTCTATCTTATCAAGTAGTAGGTTGTGGTCTAGTTTATCTAATGCCTTATTGAAGTCCAAGTAAATTATATCCACAACATTCCTCTGATCCACTAATTTTGTCACTTTGTCAAGGAATGCAATAAGATTTGTCTGGCGTGATTTGTTTTTGACAAACCCATGTTGGCTTTTGGTTAACTTTGTTTGCCTCTAGGTGTTCACTGATTTGTTGCTTATCTTTTCCAGAATCTTCCCAGATATTGAGGTCAGACTGATAGGTCTGTAATTTCCTGGATCTATTTTTGAAGATGGGAATTATATCAGCTCTTTTCCACTCCTCTGGTAATTCCCCAGTGCTCCAGATATTTTAAAGATATAGTTCAGTGGTTCTGAGATCACATCTGCCAGTTCCTTCAGAACCTTGGGGTGTAATCCAGATTTGAACTCCTGGTGATTTGAACTCATCTAGGGTAGACAAGTGCTCACTTACCATTTTCTTGCCTATTTTAACTTGTATTCCTAATCTGTTTTTTACTATTTTTGATAGGTTGAACTGTTTTTTCATTTTGTGTAAAGACAGATGCAAAAAAAGAGTTAAACAGTTCTTTCTCCCTGTTGCTTGTCACCTTGCCACTTTCTCCCATTAATGGACAAATTATTCCCTTGACATGTTTTTTTTTACATGTTGAAAGAAGCTTTGTTATTTTTGACTTTTGTCACAAACTTTAGTTCATTTTAAGCCTTAGCTTTCCTCACTTCATCTTTGCAGGGTCGGGCTATTCTGCCCTCTTTCTACTTTTTATACTTGTCCTTTTTGTTTTTCAATTTATCAGAGAGTTCTTTATGCAGCCATGCTGGTTTCTTTTGAGTTATTTTTCTTCTTCATTGGTATTATGGTAGGCTGGGCTTTTAAAAATTTCCCTAGCTTCTTGGGTTGTTTTCCCCTTGAGGATTCTCATCCATGGAATCCTTC